GGGGGGAAGGGGGGCGGCTCAGCTTGGTCATCTTTTTCCAATAGCATGGCTCTACTAAGGCTGGGTTGGCCAATCTTGCTAACCTGTGTATGTTGTAATACCCAAATGTTTAAAATCATTATGGTTCACACACATAGTAAAATTAGTGAAGACAGTTTTTATTCAGAACTCCAGAAGTGAAAAAAAAGCTCCTGAACTTTAAATTAACAGATGGTGCAATAAAAAGGAAAACAAAATCCACAGCCAACAGCACAGTGCTTTTACACTGAAAGTTTGCTTCCTGTTCCCAACAGATTATAGATTCATTTCCCTATTTTCATTCTTGCACACTGATGTTTTCCATGTTTTTCCAGAGTAAGCTCCAAACCCTCCTCCTGCAGAGATTATTGTTTCAACAATCATCTATTTCCCTAGATTAGCACCTTGCTCTGAAGCCAATTTTAAAATCTGCTGATAAACAGCACTGACCATCTGTTGACCCAATACCTAGAATGACCAAAATCCCTTAGCTACATATGCATTTTTTAAGGTATGATAGCACTGTTACTCATTTGCTTTTTTAAATTTTTGCATCATTTGCAAACTTTGGTGTTCATATCCTTTTTAAAATAATAGTTTTATAAATAAGATTAAAGGTTCTAAGGCTTTTGCAATAAATTCTTGTCTAGAATTTAACATGTTTTGACCCCAGAAAGCCAATCTTGTCACTTGAAAGAAGAAAACACTCTTGGCTTTGTTTTGTCAGTATTACTCATGAAGTTTATTAATTTGACAAAGTGTGTCTGATTTCAATTATATTAAGCTCTTTTCTTCCCCAGCTCTCTTTTCCTACTGCTATGTTGCACGGAGGAACGTACACATATCTTTTACAGTCATTAAGAAAGGAACATGATGTTATTGTTTTTAATAGCAGAGAACTAGACTCAGACTACATACAGACATTCACGTCTACTGGAAGCAATATCTTCTGGTAGAAAAACAGCCCAGGAGCTGGACTGTATAGATGTTCCTCCACCCCATGGCTGCAGAGCATCACAGGCAACCTCTCTAGCCAGGGGCATTAAAAAGATGATCCCATGGCCATTCCCACCTGTAGGGGAGGCCATTAATTGCCTGGGAAGAAGACATACAGTCAAGCAGAAGTTGGCAGCTCCCGAAAAGCAGAAGATACCACAGATAGCCAGGGGGGTTCCAGCCTAAGAAGAATGCCCCTGTATACTACCAATCGGCTGACTGGTAGGAGGGAAGCATTCTCTCATGGTGGGAACCCTCCGAATTCTCCCCTGTAGGAGACTAGCTCTGCTCCTTACAAACCTCCAGGCTGACCCAGAAGAGTACAGGGAGTGAGGAGGAGCACTCAACTGGTACGGCATAGCTTTGGGAGCCTTGTGGCAGGGACATGACAGCCTGCCTTGCCCTACACTGCATCAACCTGACCACAATCAGTGCAAGGTAAGACGGGGGCATTTTGCAGTGGTGGCAAGGCTCCACAGTCTTGTCGCTGTAGCACAGCAGCCTGCCTTGCTCTGTATTGCTTTGGTCAACTGGGCAGCATGGGCAGCAAGGGGAAGCCAGAGGGGCTAGGAGCCAGGTGCTAAGCAAAGCTCCGTAGGACCAGCTACCAGCCCTTTTGGCTTCCCCTTGCCTTCCAGCTAATTAGCAGGTTAGAAATTTAAAAGCCAGCAGTTGGGAGCGGAGCTCAGGGTTGGCAATTCTGTCTATACACAGAAAGTGTACATCTGTGCTTGGCCTCAGTAACCCAAGAGGTTCCTTCCAGTCCTATGTCCTACTACAATTTTTACTGTATAATGGTATTGGACATTGAGAGTATAGGATTGGTTAAAAGTCCACACCTATAGATTTTTCAGTTTCAAATATTAGAAATTTAAATAAGATCAGATTGCACCTAGATCTCTATTTTTACTTGAAACATGTTTGAGGCTACTTTTAAATGGACCAGTCTTAACTAAATGATATAGAAAACAAATCAACTCACCTCATCTTTATCTGCTTCTTCATCAACTTCATATACATGAACTGGAAGTTTGTCTGATTTGGTCCCTTTGCTAAAGGAGCAAAAAAGAAAAAAGAAAAAAAAGTATAAGTAGTCATGATCATTTACTTACACATGTTTATTCAGTACTATTTTAAATTTCCCTCAGCTGAAAGAACAAAAAGTCATTAAATATCAATAGGCCAAAACACATTCTCTGATGGACTATAATTCAGTTCAGCTATTTCCCCAGCTTACACACCCTGCACTTTATAAAGGCCTCATTATCCTGACGGAAGAAGCCCTTGGATTGAGCTCAAGAGAAGTAAATGATCTTCTGCAATTGCAATGCTGTTTTACCTCCCACGCATCTAATAAGCTGGGGGCAAGACTTTGCAAATGATCTCTTAATCTTTCAGACGCTGTGGGTACGCTTTACGGTAGAGTAGACTCTGTAGTGACGCATCACAGTCTACACGTGTGCCAATATTAGGACACTGTAGATTAACTAACTCCACAGTAAGATAGATATTGGGAGCAAGAAGCATGATAATGGCAAAGATAGTGGCTCAAAGATGATGTCAAAGGTGACTGAGGTAGAACCATCAGTTCTAACCACAAAAGCACACACATTTCTCTCCCTTACCCCATTCTTTTTCCCAAAAATGGGGGTTTGTAAATGAACTTTTCCCAGTCCCATGCATTTCATTACCTGCCTGCATGCCAAAATCTTGAATCACTTCCAATTTATTAAAAAAAAATTCCACAGTGCATTTAGGGCTGTTGGTTGTAGCTGTCTTGGTAGGCAGACAAAGTTGGGTAGATGTGATGCGTTTTATCAGACCAGCTAAATAATTGGAAAAATTGTTCTTTGCAAGCTTTTGGGCACATACACCCCTCTTCAGGCATAGAGAGAGCCCAAAAAAGGGTATTTATGTCCTGAAAGCTTGCAAGGAACCATTTTTCCAACTATTTAGCTGGTCTAATAAAAGATGTCACATCTACCCAAAGCACAATGTGTTTAAGGTGTTATCAATACAGAAAACCTGTGGTACACTAAAACGTTAATTTCCACCTGATATTAAGTAACACAGGGATATTGTATTAATGGTATTATTCATTTTTATATCCAATTCAATTAAAGAAGGCTAATCTTTTAATGTAATTGAAGCAATATTTCTCAAAGAAATCTGATTATCAAATTCAGATCTAGGTTGCTGCAAAGTACACTTGTTCATATAACCTTGGACTATTCTGATCATAGCTGACATAGGCATATTTCTTCATCAGTTAACTGCTTTTAAATTATTCAGAAGTTGAATCATGCAATATATAAGGATCTAGCCAGGCAATGTCAAAGACTAACCGATTTCCTCCAAAGCTACATTCTATAAAGTGTGTACAGCCAGTTCAAAAGATGGTAAGAGACAAATAATTTAGTTTCAGGAAAAAACTAAACACACAAACAAAAACACCTAATGCCCGTCTTTTTTTTTTTAATACTGTTCTAACATGCAGGTCTCAAACTTCTTTTGTTGTTATTATTGCTATTGAAGAACTGTATATAGTGTCAGTGCTTTATAAAAAAAAAATAAATATGCCCATTACTGTCCATGAGAATCCTGGCCACATTAAAATATAAATTAGATTCTATCCCCAAAACTTCTGGAACCTTGCCAAAAGCTGCCTCAAATATTGCGAAGTCTGTACATTTCTATCACAGTTTAAAATAACTTCTTATATTTTAATCATAAGGTTTATTTTTGCCTTGTTAAGTACAGAACTTGTTTACCTAGCCCTACAATTAAGACAGCTTTACAAACATGTTTAATGTTTTTGAAGTTGCTCTGAAAATTTATACTCTGTAATATAGTACAGAATAATTCACTTACGTTGGAAGCTGACGAAACTCTCCTGAGTAGTCTTCATATTTATAGTTAACAACATGCCAGTCTGAATTGTAAGTTTTGATGCACTATATTAATAGAAACAAGTTCACAATATATTAACTTAAACATGTTCAACTGAAAGCATTCCCTAGAAAAAAGCAGGTTTTCTATATTATGGGTCCTTCTGAAATACTATTATGGTTACCTGTTATGCTTAAATTTTTTTTGTTCTTAAATATGAGAAATATAATTTTCAAGTATGTTTAAGCAATCAAATGAAGAATCTAAACCGAGCAATAAAGTGCTTAGCAAAAAATTGAAAGCACTAGTAAAGGCACAAAGAATCTATAAAGCTAGTTTTATCAAGTTAGTCAACACCTGAACTTTACCACTTTCTTCAGTGGCATCATTTAAAAGCGACTGGAAACCTGACTGAACATTTAGCATACTTTGTCTAATACTTTGTATTATCAGAACAGCATGATCAATTTAGGACTTTCACTTTTAGAAGAAGAAAAATCAGGATTCAATTTAAACTTATATTTTTAATCCAACAAGTATGTTTTGAATCCAAACTGCATGTCTGCAGCTGTTGAAAGACAATTATGTCATTCTGTTCTGGACTAGATCACAGGAAGTTTCATTTTACTCCACCCCTGTGGCTGTCACACAACAATACTGATTTATCTTGGCATTAGAAGAAGTAATAACATTTTTATGTATATTGCCAGAGACAATATTATACAATACTTCATAGCCAGCATGTTTTATAAGTAAGTTTTACACATACTATGAACACATAAAACAGGCCATGTAATATTTCTAAAACATTTTTATACATTTTTTATAAAGAATAATTATTGGGCAAATTCAAGTGCCAGTCACGTTTCATTAAACTTTATAGTTTAACTTACCCATGCTGCTCCCTACAACCAAGCGCATCTTACAGTGAGATAAAAGCACAAAGGTTCTGACAAACTAGCTTCAGAATCAGAAGAGACTAAAAATAGGCCTGAATGTGTCTTGTACATTTTTCTTAAAACAGTACAATTACTAGCAAAATAACTGTGATAGAAATAGAGGATTGAAAAAAAATTGATGGTGAAAAAAAAATGTCTCCTAGTCACTAAATGAGAAGTCATTGGTAAATAGAATGAAATTTAAATAGACTCTGACCCATTTCACTGACCAGAAACTTAGAAATTTCAAATTTGCTGCAGGAAAGCAAGAGCAGCAAAGGCTAAAAGAAAGAAGGAAGAAAGGAGAAACACCCACACTACTATTAATCCAAGCAAGGGACCTCCAGAACAAGCAATACAGGACACAGGTAAAAAGCCTCAGACATACACCAATGATTACATGAAATATATAGTTATCAAATGAGATACCACCCTTCAAATACAGCTGCTAAAGAATTGGATTTCTTACCTGGACATTAGGGCTGTGCGGAACAGCACCGTTCTGCTTTGACTTCCGTTTCAACGTTTCAATGGAACAGTGTTTCGTTTAGAGTTTTGTTTAGTTTTGAAAGCACTGTTCCATTTCATTCCACTGAAACTGTTTCACTATTTTGATGTTTTGCCCATAGGCTATAGTGGGGAAGCACAAAACTGCCTATAACTTTGTCATTTCTTGCCCGATTCAGATGAAATGCGCAGGGATGGTAGCCCCTTCCGAGGGCATGACACATTCCAAGTTTCAAGGACATAAGTGCAGAGGTTTCTGGGAAACTGCACCTCAAGGTGTTAACAAGCAAAACTCCTATCACTTGCCAGCAGCAGCAGCTTCCTGTCATCCAGCAGGCAGATCCAGGGGCCTTAACCCCCAGGAGGCATCCAGCACAGCTCCTGCAGCCCTCCTGGGAGCGCAGGTGGGTCCCTGATCTGCCTGCCAGATCACAGGAGGCTGCTGCTGCCGGCTGGGACAAGCACTGAAGCCAAGTAAGCCCTTGTTTCATTTCAAAGCTGTTTCAAACGCTTTTGTTTCAGTTCGATTTCGCTGTTTGAGCTCGAAACGTATCGAAATAGCTTTGAAATGAAACACCCAGAGAAATTTTGCACAGCCCTACTGAACATTTCCCCTGGACCCCCACTGGGTGTGAATTAGATTAGCTAGAGAACAATAAATATTCAATCTAAAAAAGCAAGCCGACAACTGAAATCTGTAGTTACATGCATGTACACTAGTATACCTTCCCCCCCACTCCACACACAGTTACCTCAGTTACAAACAAACTGTGAGCTTCCTTCTCTGCATTATCAGGAACTGTAGAGCATATATATCGACTCTGACGTTTCAGTAATGCTGTCTGGTAATTGAAAAAGAAAAGGACTTCAATCAATTAAAAAGCAAATATAATGTAGTAAAATCCAGTTTCAGTTAATTTCATCAATATAAATCAGATGCACTTTAGAAAAAACATTTGATCTATCCCAATTAAAAAACAAATAACATTCCAGAAAGGCAAATACATTATGTACTTTTATTGTTGATGTATTACTTTATACCTCAAGGTTTTGAACAGTGCTTCCATTTCCTTTAGTAAGACCCAAAACATGAAATAAAGCAGTATAAGCATTTCATACCATAAAAAAGACATTTGTTGCACTTTATTTGTTATGAGGGTGCATTAAAAAGACAAATGTGAGAGTTTAATTCTACCTTTATTGGTGGAGATATCAAACATTAGCTATAATATTAGATATATAATATAATATTTTGTGTGCTTAAACACAGAAGTCACATCTATTCATTGAGGTATCCATGCAAATTATTCAGAAGACTTTTTCCACAGCAGGTATTAAATGCAGATCTCATACTTTACCATTCTTTAAACCTGAGTGTGAAGACAGTGCGAAGGCTATGCTGTTCCCCACCCATCATCATCTGCACCTCCTTACACATCCTTAAACTCCCCATAGGACCCTGACTGGAAGCCACATCCCAGACCCGCGCCATGTCTCGGAGCAAGTGCTGCTGCTAGACAAAGGCATACCTTCCTTTCAGTGTGCTGCCCAGTACCACTGCTCTTGTAAACTACTGGATCTTGGAACCTTTTTAGTCCATTAATTACAAAAGCCAGCAATATTTCAGCAAGTGCAACAAACCACACTTCCCGGATATGGGATCAGAGAAGGGCCAAACCGAGGTACTGTGGGTCAGGATACAAGGGGGTCGGGAGGGTGGGGAAGAGACTTTGTCTACTATAGACCTCCACACCAGGAGGATGAACTAGACCTGGAATTCTCCAGAGAGCTCTCAGGGGCTGTACAGTCGAGAGATATGGTTGTCATGGGTGACCTAAACTACCTGGACATCTGCTGGGGGAAGCAGCTGGCCAAATCTAACTACTCACATAGGTTCTTAACTTGCATACAGGACCTCCACCTAATGCAGGAGGTATATGATCCCACTAGGGGAAATGCCTTGCTGGACTTGGTGTTAGCTACACGGGATGACCTGGTGGGGAATCTACAGGTACAAGGTAACCTAGGGGATAGTGACCATCAACTGATTGAATTCACTATCCAGCAAAGGGTGGGTAGACTAACCAGCAGGGATGAAGTGCTAGACTTCAGAAAGGCTAATTTCAGCGTGCTCAGGAGATTAGTTAGTGAGGCGTTAAAACTCAAGAGCACTGGCAAAATGGGGGTCCAGGCAGGGTGGTCATTCCTCAAGGGAGCAATCTTACAGGCACAGACGGAGACAATCCTGTTGCGCATAAAAGGGGCAAAGGGACCAAGAAGCCCTCTTGGCTGAACAAGGAAGTCCAGGAAAGCTTAAGGGCAAAGAAAGAGGTATACAGGCTGTGGAAACGGGGTAGCTATCAAGGAGGAGGAAAACTTCCCTGGCTCGCACTTGCAGGGAGTCAGTTAGGAAGGCCAAAGAAAGATTAGAACTTAGGCTGGCAACAAAACTGAAGGACAACAAAAAGTCCTTCTTCAGGTATATAGGGAACAAAAGGAAGGCATAGGATAGCATAGGACCCCTACAGGACAAACTAGGGCAATTGGTGACAGAGGGGCGACAAAGCTGTGCTCTTCAGTGAGTTCTTGGCATCTGTATTCCTAGACACAGATCAAGACAAATCTCCCAATTGGATCACAGACAGACACAGGAGGGCCACCAGCCCACCAACAGTTAGTGCAGACTTAGTGACGGGGCACTTGGAGGGGCTGGATGTGTTCAAATCAGTGGGACCAGATGAACTGCACAGATTTATAGATTTCGTAGACATTAGGGCTAGAAGGGACCTCGGAAGATCATCAAGTCCAGCCCCCCACCCGAAGGGCAGGAAGTCAGCTGTTGTCATAGGATCCCAGCAAGATAAACATCCAAATTTCTCTTGAAGGTGTTCAACGGAGGTGCTTGAACCACCTCCGATGGCAGGCTATTCCAGATCTTGGGGACTCGGACAGTAACGAAATTCTTCTTTATGTCCAGCCTGAAATGGTCTTACAGTAGTTTATAACCGTTCGACCTCGTCATTCCTTGGGGCACTCTGGTGAACAAATGTTCCCCCTAAATACCGGTGGTCACCCCCGATAAACTTATAGGTGGCAACAGATCACCTGAGCCTGCGCTTTTCCAGCCTAAAGAGCCCCATAAATCTCAGCCTCTTGTCATAAGGTCTGTTGTCCTGACCTCTGATTATGCACCTGGCTCTTCTCTGGACTCTCTCAAGCTTCTCCACATCCTTTTTGAATTGTGGGGCCCAAAAGTGGACACAGTACTGCAGCTGCGGCCTCACCAAGGCCGAGTGCAAGGGGAGAATGACATCCCAGGATTTGCTTGAGAAGCATCTATGGATGCAAGCCAGGGTTTTGGTTGCTTTACTAGCTGCAGCATCACACTGAAGGCTCACGTTCATCTTGTGGTCAA